TTAGAGACAGGGTTTCACTATGTTGGCCAGGCTGGTCTCAAACTCCTGACCTCAGCTGATCCACCTGCGTTGGCCTCCCAAAGTGCTGGGATTACAGGCATGAGCCACCGCGCCCGGCCCCATCCCTTCATTTTATAGTTGAAGAGAAATTCCGAAGAGCTCAGTGACTTCACCCTTGCTCTGACAAGAAAGCAGGAACTAGGTTCAAGTCTTCTGATCCCTGGTTAACTTTTCTGTCTCTAAGTTTTGGGTCAACCAGTGGACTCTGAAGCAGGGTGGTGCTGTATCCCCACGGACAGCAAGAAAATCCACTGAGATGCCACAAGAAAACACAAGAGCTCCCTATTTCTATCTCCTCCTTTAAAAGTCTGTGAGATTTTATAATGTACATAATATATTAGTACAGTAGCATATGTATAATTTATAAATACACATATATTGGTGCATGTTCAAATATTTTTTAACTGATGGCATGTACGATCAAAGAGTGTAAAGACCACCACCCTAAACACCTTTTCTAACTCTAAAAAGATTACCAAATTGCCCTGATTTGTTTTACTATTTTATTTTCCAGGAGGAAACCTACAGGATATTCCTTAAAGAAAAAGATAAGGTGGGCTTGAAATGATACCAAATTGGAAGCCTCTAGAAGGCAGATTATCAAACAATGCAGCCCAACTCCACATTATCAGCTGGAGTATTTTGGTTATTTTATCAATTAAATCAGATTAACTGTTTGTCAACCCACTCCCCGGTTTGGCATTGAATCCAAAAAACCAAATCTACCGTTTTAAGGTAATTGGTCCTATCTTACTGAAAACACAATCTGGAATTGTGAGAGGAAATAAGGGAGAAAAGAGGTGGTAAAAGAAGGGGAACTACCTCCAGAGAGGTGCTCCCTAGTTAAATATTTTCTCTCCTTTTCAATCTGTTTCACCTACTCTTGATCCAGAGCTTAAATTACTCCAACCTTCAGAGAGGTTCCCCTTAACCCTACTCTGCTGTGTGAGATGAAGGAGCACATGCAAGGATAAAAGAGGAGCCCTTCTAAACTATTAAAAATTCACCTGTAGGTTCAGTTGTCTGTGCTTACACTAGAACTAGGCGCTCTCCGCTGAGCCTTAATCAGCATGAGAAAGATGCAGGAAAATCAACATTTTGATGAAAAGAGATCCCCGGAATCCTAGGTTGGGACAGGAGTTTAACTTTTCTAAAACACACTTACAAAAATTGCCTGATGATCAGGCTGTCCCTGGAGAGAGGAAATAACAGAAGCAACGTGAAGAGTAGAAAACTTGCATGGCTAAAACAAATCTGTATGGCACCTGCCCCTTCTGCTATGCACAGGCAAGGGCAGCAAACACACATCTTTGCATCATGAATCATACTGGCCACTTACTAAGCTCTTCTTCTGTGCCAGGTATCGCGCTGAAGGTTCTATAATCATGACCTGATAACTCACATCTTTATCTGTAGAATGACATTATATAGTACAGAGGTTCTAAAACTTGCTCTGTTCTTGCCACCCTTAGTGTGCCAGTAATGTTTACAGCACCTCTATGCCAAAAGAAATGCCTAACTGTTCCATTTATTAAGTAGTTATATCCGAACAACTTGGTAATAGTAGTTGGTAAGGTTTGGCTCTGTGTCTCCAACCAAATCTAATCCTTAAATTGTAATAATCCCCATGCATCAAGGGTGGGACCAGGTGGAGGTAATTGAATCATGGACGTGGTTTCCCCCATGCTGTGCTCATGCTAGTGAGTTCTCACAAGATCTGATGATTTTATAAGGGGCATCCCACTTCGCTTAGCACACATTCCCTCTCCTGCCACACCCTGTGGCAGGTGCCTTCCGCCATGATTGTATGTCTCCTGAGGCCCCCCAGCCATGTGGAACTGTGAGTCAATTACGCCTCTTTTCTTTATAAATTACCCAGTCTCAGATATGTTTTTATTAGCAGTGTGAGAACAGGCTAATACAGTAGTTCACGCAGGTGTTGCTGTTTTCCTTAAAAATATTAAATATTCCGCCACGCCCCTGTGATCCTGCTGTGGAGCCCTGGAGCACACTGGCACACAGTTTGGGAACCATGGACACACTATGACATAGATATTTTTGGGATCCCTGTTATGTCAATGAGGAAACTGAGACCCAGTAAGGTTAAGCAGCTGGTTTGAAGAAATGCAGAAATCTGAACACGAGTCATCAGAATCCAGAACCCATGCTGCTGTAACAGACTCCTCCTGCCCCCTTGCTGAATCACTGCCTTTATGTCTAGTCATTATTTCCTCTTTTCATCTGTTTATTCTGCAACTCTCCCCATCCCCTACACACACACACACACACACACACACACACACACACACACACAGAGGCATGTCTGTACACACTCATGCTCATTCATTCCCTGGGCTCAAACCATTCCAACTGGGATGTCCCTCCCTTGAGTCTGCCTTTACAGAAAGTTCCTGCTTTAACCCTCAGTCCCAACTTACACCTCCTGACCACTTGTTCCCACACTCACCTCTCCCTCTTCAAACAGTAAGCAGCATGTTAATGACATGTCTACTAAGAGGTCTACTAAGCAGCATGTTAATGACATCTGATCTTACATTGTTCCCCAATTGTTTTATGTGTGTGGATGTGGCTCTCAGAAGACTGAAAGCTGCCTCCAAACAGGGACTGTGTGTTGTCCTGTATTGGGCATAGAGTAGCCCCAATGCAAATTTGTCAAAATCAGCAAGATGATCAAATGCAGAATTTGATAGCATACTCTAATGCCTAGATGTAGATAGTGGAGACAATATATTTAAGCCATCAGGAATGATAACTAACGTCCATGTGGCTTTTATTTGGTCCTCACAAGAGTGTAATTATTGCACCCCTTTCATGGAAAAAAAAGTTGAGGTTTAGACAGGTTAAGTGACTCTGACCAACGTTACCCAGCCTGTGAATGGAAAAACAGGCCTAAAAGTCCAGAGTGTTGGTCTCCCTCCCAGCCCTGTTTCAGGTTTATACAGCAGTGACCTTCAGAGAGATGCCAATTTTCAGCCCACATTCTGTGATGGGCAGGATGTCAATTTCAGAGGCAGTGTCTAGACTCAAAGGTGCCTGTCACCCTTGATACCTGGACTGTCTTCCAAGCCAAGCAGTGAGCCCTGCAGGACACCAGGCTGGGGTGGCTGGGGACACTGCTAGAAGCAATCAGGCTCCTTGGTGAGGTCAGTGAGCTTATTCAAAGTTCCAACCCATCTCCCTTTCTTAAGACGGAGTAAACTATAAAGGCTGGGGTTGACGGCTTCTGCAGCCAATGCTGGGTGCTTAAGCAAAAGTCTATTTTGACCTTAAAAGCATGTCATACAAAATAAAAGCAAGCTGGAAATATGCATCTATTCCTTCTGAATCATGAGAGCTTTGGTAGAATCAGCAAGGGTAGGGGCTCAGAGGTCAGTCAGCTCCGAGTTTACAGTTGATGCTGTTACTCACTAATGTATGATTTGAGGAAAGTTACTTCACCTCTCCGAATCTCAGTGTCCTTGTCAGTAAAATGAGGTCATAGGATAGTTGTGAAGATTAAATGGCAAAGCAAATGTAAAGCAAAGGGTGGTGGCTGCCAGGTAACAGACGCTCAGTAAGTGATAGTTCCTTATCACAGATGACAAACAGGTGCTGCAGCCAGAAGGTGTGGATGAAATAGGAGTTAGCACCAGCACCAGCACCAGCACCACCACCACCATTAGAACAGTGTTATGGGGGGACTGGTGCTAACTCCTTGTAGAGCAATTCATAACGCTCTAGCCTGGAGTAGTAGCAGAATGAGGAAGGAGGAGGGGAGTAAAAGAAAGGAAAATACAAGATGCCTAAGGCAAAAAATTCACCCAGAGAGACCCTGATGAGAAACAGAAACGAAATAGATGAGGAGCCAATAATTGGTTAGTAGAAGGACAGGGTGCTGGGCTTGAAAAAAAAAAATAAACAACTTGGACCATTTAAATATACATTTCAAATTGCATCCTCTTCTTCTGCATTGTGTCTTCAGGCAGCTTGGAAGATATAAATGCGTCATATTTATGTATAAAGCTTTTATTGGGATTAAAAAAAAACAGAACTGAACTTTATGAATAAAAGAAGGGTAAAAACCAGCTGTAGGGTGGCAGGTTTCTTGCATGATAAAATGGGGTTGAGTCTGGGATGGAAGCATTTACGCCAGTATTCTTTTGTCAGATGCCTGTCTTTGCAGAGACGTAGAAGGCATGGCTCAGAGGAAATGTACCTGGAGGATATCTGGAAATCCTAAAGGACTATTACAACTGTTAGTTATTATTAACACGTGTATAGTAGCACACCCACCAAATCAGCAATCTGCCTGAATATCACCCATGTGCCTTTGAGGGGACTGTCAGGATGGAGAGACTCACCGTGGTCGGGATGTCCCGGTTGAGGGGCACGCTGTGCGACTGCTCCTGCAGGGATTTATCTGTGCCAACCTCGGAGTAAAAGACCTTGAAAAGATGCAGACACCCTGGTGAGAGCAGAGCCCATGCTTGTGTAAGATCAAAGGTTGTAATTGCACTCACAGTGGCAGCAGGCTCTGAGGTGCGTCGCCTTATATCAAGTGCACTAGTTCTGTAGGAACCACATGAGACCTACTTGGGTTGGGACGGGAATGGTGGGGTAGTGTTACAAACTCAGAAGCCTGTGGAGTCCAGGAGGAAGACATACAGTAATGAAGTGAGAGGCAGAGGTCTGGATGTGGCTCCTGTTATTTTTCCCAAAATGCATGAGCCTCCCAGGTAATCTTTCATTTTCTCACTTTCAGTAAGATATGAGTCCAGAAATATATTTCTCTACTTTTAGAAAACAGTAAGACAGGCTGGGCTCATGCCTGTAATCCCAGCACTTTGGGAGGCTGAGTTGGGTAGATCACGAGGTCAGGAGTTCAAGACCAGCTTGACCAACATGGTTAAACCCCGTCTCTGCTAAAAATACAAAAATTAGCCAGGTGTGGTGGCAGGCACCTGTAATCCCAGCTACTCAGGGGGCTGAGGCAGGAGAATCACTTGAACCAGGAGGTGGAGGTTGCAGTGAGCCAAGATCATGCCACTGCACTGCAGCCTGGGTGACAGAGCAACACTTCGTCTCAAAAAAAAAAAAAAAAGAAAGAAAACAATTGGACAAAGGCCATGATCAATGGCTACTGAAAAGGTGACAGTAGCTGGTGGTGGGATAAGGGTGTTACTGGGTTCTTACAACTCAACTAAAATGAGCAGCTCAATTCCAGCAGGCTTGGTGCCTTACGGGAATGTGGACCGAATGTGGCCAGCTCTCCACATGTCCCAGAGAGTTTGCAACTCCAAATATTTATGTGAAATGTCTTGACTTCTAGAAGTTTTTCAAAGAAAACATTTTGGTGAAATGAAATCAGCCCAATTTGTAGCCTCTGACAGATAGGAATGCACTCTCTGCTGATTCCTTCACTTTGCCTATCCACCTTCTTACTTTAATTCAGATTTTACATTATTTTGTACTTATTGACAACATTCCACAGTGATTTCCTGTTTCCCATGTTCATGCTTTATTCTCCAGATTGGACTAATGGCAATTGAAGAGCAAGAACCACGTCCTTTTAGTTTATATTTTTCCACAGCTGGACAGAGAAAGGACTGGATAGATCCTAAATGAGTAATGCAGATGTGATGTGACACTAGGAGCATTTACAAACACCCTTCAAAAGGGGACATTTCTTCTAGCTTATGGAGAGAGAATGGGGCTGTTATTGATACAGAAGAACAGGTATCTAGAAAAAGCAAGGATGAGAAAGACATACAGTCACACAACACACCCACTGAGGAAACTCCCGTGCTCATGTACTTACAGTGTACCCAAGGACGGGGCTCCCAGGATGCCTTGGCATTTTCCACTGGATGCTGAAAGCCGTACAGTTCAATGCGCCCAGCTTGATGTCAAGAGGCGGCCCTACCTTTCCTGCCCCCAAACAAAATAGATTGTGTTAGCACATCCCACCTTGAGTATACTTACACAAGATTTAAGAGTGCATTCTCTGACAGATGAAAAGCACACTTAAAGATAATTTCAGAAACGAAGTCAATCTCTAATCTACCACACCTGTCTCAGCTGACCTCACCCACTTTGCTATCCTCTCCCAACCTGGCATTAGTAGATAAATCAGCCCAACCATAACCCTTGTTCTCTTGGGTAACTTCTAATAGGTCAGGAACCAGCAAAGGAGGATTCAGGGTAGCACAGACCACAGACACTTCTGACTTGACTCTGAGAGTTTAACATGTACTAAAGTAACATGACAGACATATTTTTATTTACTCAATAGCATATGTATTTTATGTATACATTATATATATGTGTTTGCTTACACAGCTAGGATATACCCTATGGTGTGACATCTCAAAAATATAGTTATGTATAAAATGAAGTTTAAATTTTTCAAATGTTTCACTATCTATTTATCTTAAGTAACTTCATAGTTATAGATAATAAGATTTGTAATTATAAAATAACATATACAGGTTGCCATGATTTAGAAAATATAAAAGAATTATATCTAATTCTAATATTCAGAAATGAGTCCTATTAGCATTGCGTTGTATCTCCTGTAGGTCATGTGCAATTTAAAAAAATTGTTTCTCTCTCTCTCTTTCTCTCTCTCTCTCTCTCTCTCTCTCTCTCTCTCTGTGTGTGTGTGTGTGTGTGTGTGTGTGTGTGTGTTTCTATACAGTTGACATCCCTTATCTGAAATGCTTGGGACCAGAAGTGTTTCAGATTTCAGATTTTATTGGGTTTTGGAATATTTGCAGTATACTTAGCTGTTGAGCATCTCAAATCCAAAATGCTACAATGGGCATTTTCCTTGAGCATCATATTGGTGCTTAAAAAGTAGGATTTTGGAGCATTTAGGGTGTCAGAGTTTTGGATTTTGGATGCTCAACTTTGTGTCTGTGTGCATGTGTTTATGTGATTTTTAAATTGTTTTTGTTATATATAGTGATTATGTATATATACATGCATGTTAATAATTTTAAGTCTTATCTCAGTATATATATACATACTTATCTCACTTAGTATTTTAAGTCTTATCTCACTTAGTATATATATATAAATATATATATTAGAGAGAGAGAGGGGGAGAGAGAGAGAGTACAAATAGCATATTATAATCCTTAAAATCATTATTTTTAATGGCTGTAAATTTTTCCATATAACACATGTTCCATAATAAATGGCATTTGCTATCCCGCTATCGTTAGGCAATTTACTTCCAATATTTTGCTGTCTTACATAATGCTCCATGAGGGCAGAGAGTAGGTCTATCTTGTTCAGAGTACAGAAACTAATAATGGTAAGAGCACAATAAATATTCCTTAAGTGAATGAACATTCTGCAACTTGATTTTCCACTTACTAATATGTCTTGGTGAACTTTCTTTTTAACCATTGCATATAATTCTCCAGCATATCCTTTAGCATACTTGTAATTCGCAGAGATCTAATGTATCTATTTAATGGACTGCTGCTGGGGGCTTGTCATCAATGTTTTTAATAACAGAACCCAAAGTTTTTCTAGTGGATTGAGTAATAGAAACACAGTGCTGTCAGCAGGAACCATGAGGCCAAGAGTCACCTCCCCTCTACCCCATATACACCTGCCTATGACCGTTATCACTCAGAGATTTAATTCTTAATGATCTCTCTGACTCTGCCATTAAATTTGCTCAAGATTGGCTAGACTTGAGCAGATTAGATTAGGCTAGACTTAGGCCATGTGGCTTCCTCTTGGCTCAACCAACAGGCAGGAAAGGAAAGATCAGTCCTTTCTGGCTTCTAAACTGGGAAATGACAGGATGAGATGAGTTCAGGGAATTGTTCTTCCACCAAGCCCATCCACAGTAAAGAAAGAAACCAGCAGGAGAAAAGGATCATAGAAAAGGGTAGTGGGAGGTTGGATAGCCAAAACTCCACTTTTCAGAGCACGTGTGTACATTAACTATTGCTCCATTGATTGATGCTGAAGTTATTTTCAAAATATCACTGTTAAAAATAATGCTGAAAAGAACATCTGAATATGTGCCTTTTTATGCACATGTGCCAGTGTTTCCAGGATGGATACCTATAAAATTTATCAAGAATATACACTTTCATTTTTACTACTAATGACTTATTGCTCTCCCAAAAAGAGTAAATGAATAAATATATGTTTAGGTGCATTCAATTATTTATTTGGGTAAATTCTTAAAATTCTTAAAGCAGAGTTCTTGTGTCTAAAAGGATTTTTCACCCTTGACACTGTTGACATTTGGGGCTGCCTCCTTTTTATAGGGGCTGTCCTTTTGCATCATAGGATGTTGAGCAGCATCCCTGGTCTCTACCCGCTAAATGACAGTAGGATCCTCCAACCCCATGTGAAAACTCAGAACATCTCCACACATTGCCAAATGGTCCCCAAACGGCAAAATTGTTCCCCATTGAGAAGCACTGATTTAAGAGAATGAATATTTTAAAGATTTCTAATAAATATCATCAAACTTACATTTAGAAAATTACCAATTTAGAAGTTTATAATGGTGTATGAGATATATAAGTAACAGTATAAAGTAACACAGCCCCACCAGGTCTTAGTATTACCACTTTTTAAAGAATTTTTGCTCAGAGAATGAAAAAATATACATAAAAAAAAGCCACAGACCAGCAGAAAATATTTGCAAAAGAAATATCTGATAAAGGTCTGTTATCCAAAATATACAAATGCTGTAGACAAAACATGCGTGTCCCTCCAAAATTCATACATTAAACCCTAATTCCCAATGTAATAGTATTTGGAGATGTGGCCTTTGGGAGGTGATTAGGTCATGAGGGTAGAGCCCTCATGAATAGGATTAGTTACCTTGTAAAATAATACCCTAGAGAGCTCCGCCTCCCCTTCTGCTATGTGAAGACACAGCAAGAAGATAGCTGTCTATGAGCCAGGAAGTGAGCCTTCATCAGACACCAAATCTGTTGGTGCCTTGGTCTTAGACTTGCCTGCCTCCAGAACTGTGAAAAATAAATTTCTGTTGTTTATAAGCCACCCAATCTATAGTATTTTGTTACAGCAGCTGAACAAACTAGGATAATGCAGAACTCTTAAAACTAAACAGGCCAGGTGCAGTGGCTCACGCCTGTAATCTCAGCACTTTGGGAGGCTGAGGCGGGTGGATCGCTTGAGGTCAGAAGTTTGAAACAAGCCTGTCCAACATGGCGAAACCCTGTCTCTACTAAAAATACAAAAATTAGCTGGGCATGGTGGCGGGTACCTGTAATCTCAGCTACTTGGGAGGCTGAGGCAGGAGAATTGCTTGAACTCAGGAGGCGGAGGTTGCAATGAGCCAAGAACACGCCATTACACTCTAGCCTGGGCAATAAGAGTGAAACTCTGTCTCAAAAACAAAAACAACAACAACAAAAAAAACTCTCAACAATAAAAATAAACAACCTGAGTGAAAAATGGGCCAAAAGATTTCATTACAAAGACATCAAAAGCAACAAAAGCAAAAATTGACAAATGAAATCTAATTAAGAGCATCTGTACAGCAAAAGAAACTCTCAACAGAGTAGACAGACAATCTACAGACTGGGAGGAAATATTTGCAAACTATGCATCTGACAAAGGTCTAATATCCAGAATCTATACGGAACTTAAACAAATTTACAAGAGTAAAACAACTCCATTAAAAAGTGGGCAAAGAACATGAACAGACACCCTAAAAGAAGGCATACATGCGGCCAACAAGCATATGAAGAAAAGCTCAACATCACTGTTCATTAGAAAAATGCAATTCAAAACCATGATGAGATACCATCTCGCACCAGTCAAAATGGCTATTATAAAAAAGTCAAAAAAATAACAGATGCTGGCAAGATTGTGGAGAAAAGGGAACTTTTATGCACTGTTGGTGGGAGTACAAATTAGCTTGTGGAAAGCAGTATGGCAATTCCTCAAAGTGCTAAAAGCAGAACTACCATTCAACCCAGCAATCCCATTACTGGATATGTACCCAGAGGAATACAAAGCATTCTACCATAAACACACATGCATGCAAATGTTCACTGCAGCAGCGTTTGCAATAGCAAAGACATGGAATCAACCTAAATGCCCATCAGTGACAGACTGGATAAAGAAAATATGGTACATATGCACCATGGAATATAATGCAGCCATAGAAAGAATGAGATCATGTCTTTTGTGGGAACATGAATGCAGCTGGAGGCTATCATCCTTAGCAAACTAATGCAGGAACAGAAAACCAGCTACCCCATGTTCTCACTTACAAGTGACAGCAGAATAATAAGAACTTAAGAACACAAAGAAGGAAACAACAGACACTGGGGTCTACTTGATGGGGGAGGGTGGGTGGAGGGAGAGGAACTGAAAATATAGCTTTTCTGGGTACTGGGCTTAATACCTGCATGAGGTAATATGTACAACAAACCCCCGTGGTGGGTATTTACCTATGTAACAAACCTTCACATATACCCCAAACCTAAAATAAAAATTAAAAAAAGCAAACAAACCAAAAATAGAAAAATGGACCAAGACCTTGGCAGACACCTCACCAAAAAAGATACAATGATAGCAAGTAAGCATATAAAAACATGCTCCACATCATAGGTCATCAGGGAAATGCAAATCATAACACCAATGAGATACCATCCCAATATGCCTATTAGAATGGCCAAAATCCAGAACACTGACAACATGAAATTTTGGCAAGCATGTGGAGCAACAGGACTCTTATTCATCACTGGTGGGAATGCAAAATGGGACAGCCCCTTTGGAAGGCAGTTTGGCAGTTTCTTACAAAACCAAACATACTCATCATATCACTCACATGTACACTCTGTGGTATCTACCTAAAGGATTCAAAAACTTACATCCACACAAAAACCTGCACATGGATATTTATAGCAGCTTTA